ATTATTGAAATTAACAAGAAATGTGATGTGCCTGGCGCATATCTAGATAGTGCTATATCTACTCATTTTTTGCCTGAAACAAGGTCATTCAAGTTCTACGCCAGGACATTGAAGAATCACAAGTGGGTAAAAAAAACATTGAAATCTTTGGCAAGTTCTTATTCTGTTATTTCGAAAATATGCTACGAGTGGATTTTCTCTAAGAAAACAGGCCCTGGTGTGAGAATATTTCAAAATTCAGTAGATAATATGGTTGCCCAAATCTTTTAACAGATTGCGTCTTTACAGTTTCGCTAGTCGCCGCACAGGACAACGTCATGACGTGCATGTTTTGCGAAGTGATTACAGAGGAGCTCGAGAAGGAGGCTACTGCGGCCGGCACGATTCAAGGCATGTTCAGGTAAAGTCGATTTGTTTAATGACTAACAGTTTTTATGAAGTCCTACAAAAAGTAGCTGTTTTCCAGGCGCTGCAATCGCATGGGGTTGGTTGAACCCGTGTGCGACCAGTTTGTCACCGAATACGCGAAGCGCATCTTCTTCCTCGCTCGAAACGGCGTCCCAGCCGCCTCCATCTGCGACAAGCTAAGTCTGTGCGGCGTGCGACGATGACATCTGATGACATAATTATCGTTTGTGTCGAAAGACTTAAATGATCATAGAATTCTGTATGTATGATAAAGGTGTTCAGCTGTAATTGAGAACAGATAGAGGTCTTGTATGAGCGTTTTGCCGTTTATGGCTAAAGAAATTCCGTCTATAGAAGTAGTGGAACCACTGACCGTCAGGAAAACAATGATTTTTTGAAAAAAAAAAACAAAATAAGCAAAGAGAGACGTTTGCAAAATAGTGCATTTTTTCTTTGCTTTCAGTCAATATCTGCAAAAACTTGAAGCACAGCCACTGATCTCCACGAACACTACTTTGCTGTGAAACATACAAGAGCTGTCCATATTTCTCAGTTTGGGATTTAGATTTGGTGCGAACATAAATACCTCACGTGGTCCTAGAAGACATCGCAAGAGTCAAGATGTGGAGTTCTAGATCAAAATTCTGTCACTACCATTACCAAAATCATTCGTTACCAAAATTGGCTTATAAAAGCTTTGCTCCACAAAATCCCGGTAAGCACTAAAGGCTCAACTGTCTACTGTTTTGAAATTGCATGCTTATGAGGTTTTGAATCTTTCAACGAGGTACAGTATTCTCACAAAAAAATTTAGGAAAGCAAAACATTTTTTAAAAAGAGCTAAAATACAAAAATCAAATCAAATTAGCAGTAAGATCAGCTGTCCAAAGCCGATCTGCAGTTATGAATAAGACCAAGACCGAATATATGATATCCTTGGCGCTTGGGTCGCGTACGTCCATACACAGTTCCAAAAGATATGAAAGTGCGATTTTGTTTTTTTGTGTTACTCATAGACAGTAATC